CGGAGCCGCACTCCACCGACCCCGGCAAAAGGCCCCATATCCCGCGGAAGCCGCTGCATCCGTGAACAAATCCAGGTCAAAATGGCTCCCAGGGCCAGACATCCACAGAGCCCGCCTGTTGAAGGAATCCAAAAAGGTGAGCAAAATCTGCAAGTCCGCCCGATGCTCCCGAGTCAAGCGAATAAAATGTAAAGCGGAGGTACCCCCACCGTCGCCAATCGGCGGCAGAACACCCAACCCATCGGCAGGATATGGCAAGCGAAGTTAAGTTTTGCCCAACAACGACTGCCAGGCCCGCAGCTGAATCTTACGCCGGCCCAGCACCCCACGAATTTCAACCTGTAAGGCCAACAGCTTGTATTCAGGCAGCCGGCACTCCACAGCTCCTGAATCTAAACAATGCCCAGGAAAGTAATCACCGAAGCCGGGCCCTCCGTCTTGTCCAATGCCAGCAGAATGCCGAAACGTTTTGCAATCAGTTGCAAAGTGGCCAGCAAAAAACTGCACACACCCCGGAAGCTGGCGGACCCACACAAAGAAAATCATCTAAATAATGGATGACCGCATTCACCCCCGAGACATCCCGCACCACCCACTCCACAAACAAACCGAACCTCTTGAACAAAGTGCAGGATATAAAACAACCCATGGGAAGGCACTTCACAACGTAAAACGACCCCTCCCACCGACAACCCAAGACGCAAAAACTGTCTGGATGGACCGGCAACAGCCGAAAAACGCTGACTCAATATCCGATTTCGCCAAGGGCGCACCACGCCCATACCGACAAACCCAGAAAAACTGCCGCATCGAACGACGTATAATACACCGAACATGACTCTGGATCGATGGCATCGTTCACCGACCCCCCTGTCGGGAAGGACAGGTGAGGAATTAACCGAAACGCATTAGGCTCCTTTTTGGGCACAACCCCCCAGGGAGAAAAAGAAAAACAGGCCGCCCATGCGTTCCAACCCCACTTCCTTACGCAACTTAGCCAAAACCACCTCTGCATACTGCAAGGCTGACCGTGAGTTCCGAGCTAAGGGAGGAATCGAAGTCAAAGTACACGGGATGCGGAAACCCTCCGAACAAACCTTGCTGCCAGCAGCACAGCGGGTGCCTGATCAGGGTATCTATTTAGGAAAGGCTGCATCCTTTTCACCCTCACCGGCGTCGTCCCTTTTACCCGCATGCTCTCTAGAAGGGCCTCTACCCCGCTTGAAACAGCGCAACAAAGAATGGGTGCCACCGCAACCGAAACATTCGTGCTCAAAACGGCAGGACCCTCCGAAACGACAAGCACCCTCTTGGAACCGCCAGCAGAAACCCCTACGCTTTGAGGGAGAACGAACCACCGGCCCACCCTGAAAAAAAACAGACCAGAGGGCATCGCCGGAGTCATAAGCCGCATCCAAAGGCCAATGTCCTTATGGTCCCAGCGCAACGACGGGTAAACCGCCCTATGCTGCCGAAACTGTTCATCGTACCGTAGCCCTGCGATCCCCCCGCAAACCCTGTTAGCCTCGCTAATAGCGTCAAGGAAACAGAAAAGCGCCGAGCAATGCTCAGGGGCCGTTTCCCCAATGACACTGGCCATAATCGCGAAAAACCGAAACCAATTAGCAAAAGTACGTGGGATAAACCGAAAAAACGCCGCTTCTCTCGCTTCCTCCCGCCTGCCCTCGTCAACCCTCAACCCATCGCCAGGCAGCTGCACCAAGATCAAGAGCGTGAAGATCTCGACATACACACCTCTCCAAATTTTCTCTCGTACATCCAAATGTAAGTGCGCACCAAACGGGCCCTCAAACCACACGTACACTGCGAAGCCGCCCGGCCCTTGCACCCCCCGCACCCTCACCCAAAACCGTGGATGGGGCCGCCGAGCCAAGAGCACCGGTCTCCGCCGTTACTACCCCTGACCCCGGAGGAGAAGAAAACACCAGGCCCCCGCGCGTCCCCACTATCCTGCCCTAGGCCCCAGCAAACATTCCCACCAGCAAGCGGGAGCCACGCAGAAGCAGGCCCAGCGCCCCCACTACCACTCTGTTTAAAGCGCCGCAACAAGTCCCGCAGGCCGGACAGCAAATCGCAGACACCCGCACCAATAACCGGCAAGAGAACGCCGCCCTCCGACACCGCAGAAGACCGCCCCCCAACAGGTCCTGGAGAGCAGATGAAAAGCAGAGAGCAGACCCAGAAACAGGTAACTCACCAGGCTGCCCAAGAGATGTCCCATCAGCCACGCGTCCAAAATCCAGCGGTGCCGAGCGGCCCAGTTGTCGCCCCCGTATCGGGTTCCGACAGCTCGCTCTCAGGTCGGTCCTCATCCTCTCGATGACTGGATGGCCTCCCAGTCCCAGGAGCCACGGGTCCCGCAGGTCTGTGCCGCTCCCGCCTCCCGGCACCAGCCACGCGCCATGATGACACTGGGTACTTGCCAGCCCTCCGCCCAGCGCTGCTCTTCATCCTGTGTTTTTTTTTTTTTTTTTGGAGCCGCAGCTCCATGCCTCTCAGGGGGGCCCGCCGGCTGCAGTAGGAGACAGCCCGGCAGCCGCCGCAGTGCGCCTCCCACGCTGGGCACCCTCCCTGACAGGTGCCTTGTCAGGGGAGGAGCCGTTGCCATCCCAACATCTTTGCACCGCGGGGGGGCGGGGCTTCTTCCCCGTGTGACCCCGCCCGTTGAGCTCCGTCGGGGATTCCTCCCGGTCCCGAGTGGGGCTCCCGTTTTGGTGCTGAGCTCTGGGGGGGGGGGGCCAGGCTAAAAGTGCTCCGGAGGCCTAGACCTCCGAGCACATGGCTCCGCTCCCCTGCAAGCCCCCCCTGCCGCTCCAGCGGGGTGACAAGCCCGTGGCCCCGCAGTGAGGCAGAGACCTGGCTCCGCAGCCCCCCTGCCCAGTACATCCCTTTGGAGGCAGCAGCCTCACGCAGCTGGCCAACAGACCTTACATGACAGCTGCCACTGTCCGCACACCGAGTCCCTCAGGGAAGGTAACCCGTACAGGACACGCTGGTGAGGAAGCTCTCTCTCCTACGACCAGCTCCGACTGACGCCCCTCACCAAGACACCCCACCCTAAGGTGCCGAAGACCCCACCTACACTCTCCCTCTACCAACCAGATCCCCCAGCTACCCTTTACCAACCCCCTAATACCATCATTAACCCCTTACACGTCTTCCTTCCCACTCTGGGCCTAGTCATGCTTGCCCTGCGCTAATTCTTTTCTTCTTTTATCGCTGCGGGCATTTCTTGACTGTCGGGTCTGTTGGATTTCTATGACTCTACTACACCTGCTAGGAAATTATTTGCCATGTAGAAATATCATTTCCACCAAAAACAGTGATTGATCCGGTTAGTGATGTCTGATTGCTATTATTTTCAACACAACTGTAGATACATTTTAGGTAAGAGTTTTGTCTACTTGCTCTCCTCCGACCACTCTTCATTTAGTTCAGTCTTCTTTGATGATGTTGGCCCATGTCTCCTCTGGAACCAATTACTGGGTGAAGGGTTCGTGCCGGCATCATCCTAAAGCATCGTAGAATGGAATGAACGTTGAATGGCAGCCGCAGTATAATACCTCCAATCGCACATTGCTAATTGTTCTGCTAATAATCAGGCAGCACAGTTGGTGAGAAAATGAGTAGAGATTGTAGAAGAAATGTCTTCATCCCCGACACGTTCCTCTCTCAGCACAGCCCTCAGCTCAGCATGTTGTCTTTGCCCTTTTTTTTTTTTTTTCACTTGAGCAGGCCCTGGCGTCTCCAGACTATCAACATGTCACATAATGGAAAGTTGAAATTTCCTGCACAATTCTCAGTATGAAGGAGCCAGGCGGTTCTCTCGCCTCTCTGATCACATAGCCATTCCGAAATAGAAGTTTCTTTCTTGTTTTTTCAATTGTGAAGTTAATCTTCTCCTCGCCGCTACAGCAGAACTAGAGTCATACAAGTATTCATTGTTTCTTGCTTACGTTATCTTCTCCAGGAGCTCCAGAGGACCCCATGCCTCTGATGCATTTAGAACTGTGTTCACCTCTTTTTCAGGTTGACAGCCCCCGATGTGAGGGAAGCCGTTGAATGGAAGTGGCTTAGATTGCGGGATATGCCTTCGCTGTTTTCATGTCTGGCACTCGCGGTGATGGAGGCTCTGTGAAGCAGGGTGTACAATTGATAGACATATGATATGGTAATGACATCTTTCAAAAGGGGAATTTAGAGGGGAAAATGAAACTTAGGTCCTCTGAGAAGAAGCAGTAATAAATGGGAAGACCACTTACAGGGCAAAAAGCTTTGTCGTTGGGAAAGCACTAGGTGGAAAATGGGCCAAGTACCAGTTTATTGCTGCCAGACATAAATATTTATGCTGAATAGCAGACATTCTCAACATTTACATTTATAATACAGAAGAACCCTTGAAAAAACTTTCCAGCCTCTGGGAACCCCACCTAAAAATGACTATATCTACAACTCATGGTACATTCAGTGTGATGGTCAGTGGGAAGAATGTCCCTTACATTGGTGGTCAGTGGGAAGAATGTCCTTACATTGGGGGTCAGTGGGAAGAATGTCCCTTACATTGGGGGTCAGTGGGAAGAATGTCCCTTACATTGGTGGTCAGTGGGAAGAATGTCCCTTACATTGGGGGTCAGGGGAAGAATGTCCCTTACATTGGGGGTCAGTGGGAAGAATGTCCCTTTACATTGGGGGTCAGGGGGAATGTCCCTTACATTGGGGGTCAGTGGGAAGAACGTCCTTACATTGGGGGTCAGTGAGGGAAGAATGTCCCTTACATTGGGGGTCAGTGGGAAGAATGTCCCTTACATTGGGGGTCAGTGGGAAGAATGTCCCTTACATTGGGGGTCAGTGGGAAGAATGTCCCTTACATTGGAGGTCAGGGAAGAATGTCCCTTACATTGGGGGTCAGTGGGAAGAATGTCCCTTACATTGGGGGTCAGTGGGAAGAATGTCCCTTACATTGGTGATTAGTGGGAAGAATGTCCCTTACATTGGGGGTCAGTGGGAAGAATGTCCCTTACATTGGTGATTAGTGGGAAGAATGTCCCTTACATTGGGGGTCAGTGGGAAGAATGTCCCTTACATTGGAGGTCAGTGGGAAGAATGTCCCTTACATTGGGGGTCAGTGGGAAGAATGTCCCTTACATTGGGGGTCAGAGGGAAGAATGTCTCTTACATTGGGGGTCAGTGGGAAGAATGTCCCTTACATTGGGGGTCAGTGGGAAGAATGTCCCTTACATTGGGGGTCAGTGGGAAGAATGTCCCTTACATTGGAGGTCAGTAGGAAGATGCCCCTTACATTGGGGGTCAGTGGGAAGAATGTCCCTTACATTGGAGGTCAGTGATGTCCCTTACATTAGTGTAGTGGGAAGAATGTCCCTTACATTGGGGGTCAGTGAGAAGAATGTCCCTTACATTGGGGGTCAGTGAGAAGAATGTCCCTTACATTGGGGATCAGTGGGAAGAATGTCCCTTAACCTCCCTAGCGGTATGATTCTTTCCGATTTTTTGTGCTGAAAGCGGTACATTTTTTTGCATGGAAATATGTAGTTTTTTTATTGTAGGCTGTAATTTTTAGGAATAACTCCCTGAAATCTGTCCAAACAAGAGTCTGGTAAACATTCCGGATATGATAAAACTTGAAACACGAAATCATAAATTATAATTTAATAAATAATCATAATAAATAATAACATAATCAAACCAAAAACACTAAAATTTGAAATACAGAGGCAAATTCGCACATCGCTGAGCTCAGTCGCAGAATCGTTTTCAGTGTCTGATGAGGAATTTCCCCCACCAATCATTATCACTAGAGATGAGCGAATCGAACCAGGCGAACCGGAATTCGATACGAATTTCAGGAAATATTCGATTCGCGTCGAATCCGAAATTTTGCCTACTTCGGGTGCGCAAATCGAATATTTCCCGATCAGCCGGCAAAAGTGTCCCTGCAGTGAGCTCCGCTATTTCTGACAGTTCTCTGACAGTTCCTTCACATGTAAAGCGGTTGAAACATTGTATCTATTAGTTTCCATTTAGGATACAGATGTTTCAACCGCTGTACATGTGAAGAAGCTGTCAGAGAACTGTCAGAAATAGAGGAACTCTGCACATACACTTTTTGCCGGTTTGGAATTCTTATTTTCATCCTACTTCTTCTTCTTCTTCTTCTACTTCTTCATCCTCATCCTCAGAAGAAGAGAAGAGGATGAGGATGAGGGAAGAAGAAGAAGAAGAAGAAGAAGTAGGATGAAAATAAGAATAATTCCAAGCCGGCAAAAAGTGTATGTGCAGAGTTCCTCTATTCTGCATATACACTTAGAGGAGCTCTGCAGATACACTTAGAGGAGCTCTGCACATACACTTTTTGCTGGCTTGGAATTATTCTTATTTTCATCCTACTTCTTCTTCTTCTTCCTCTTCTTCATCCTCATCCTCATCCTCTTCTTCTTCTTCTGAGGATGAGGATGAAGAAGAAGAAGAAGAAGAAGAAGAAGAAGTAGGATGAAAATAAGATTAATTCCAAGCCGGCAAAAAGTGTATGTGCAGAGCTCCTCTAAGTGTATCTGCAGAGCTCCTCTAAGTGTATATGCAGAATAGAGGAACTCTGCACATACACTTTTTGCCGGAAACCGCTGTATGGAGGGAATGTCCCAGAACTGTCAGAAATAGTCTATTTCTGACAGTTCTGGGACATTCCCTCCATACAGCGGTTTGAAACATTGTATCTTTTGTTTCCATAATGGATCCTTTGGGATCCAATGTTTGGGTGGGTTTAAATGGATTGGGGGTATACTATTTGTTTGGGTTGGCTGTTGAGGGATGTGAATGTCCCAGAACTGTCAGAAATAGACAGAAACTGTCACAGAACTGTCCAGAAATCCTTCTCCTTCACTTCATCCTTCTTCTCATCCTTCTTCTCATCCTTCTCCTTCTTCTCATCCTTCTCCTTCTTCTCATCCTTCTCCTTCTCCTTCTTCTCATCCTTCTCCTCCTTCTTCTCATCCTTCTCCTTCTCCTTCTTCTCATCCTTCTTCTCATCCTTCTCCATCTTCTCATCCTTCTCCTCCTTCTTCTCATCCTTCTCCTTCTTCTCATCCTTCTCCTTCTTCTCATCCTTCTCCTTCTTCTCATCCTTCTCCTTCTTCTCATCCTTCTCCTTCTCCTTCTTCTCATCCTTCTCCTTCTCCTTCTTCTCATCCTTCTCCTTCTGCTTCTCCTTCTCCATCTTCTCATCCTTCTCCTTCTTCTCATCCTTCTCCTTCTTCTCATCCTTCTCTTCTCCTTCTTCTCATCCTTCTCCTTCTCCATCTTCTTCTCATCCTTCTCCTTCTTCTACTCCCTTCTTCTCATCCTTTTCTCATCCTTCTCTCATCGGATCCTTCGGATGAAGGAGAAGAGGAGAATCTTGATCCTTCTCTCTTCTTCTCATCCTTCTTCTCTCCTTCTTCTCATCCTTCTCCTTCTTCTCATCCTTCTCCTTCTTCTCATCCTTCTCCTTCTTCTCATCCTTCTCCTCTCATCATCCTTCTCCTTCTCCTTCTTCTCATCCTTCTCCTTCTCCTTCTTCTCATCCTTCTCCTTCTCCTTCTTCTCATCCTTCTCCTTCTCCTTCTTCTCATCCTTCTCCTTCTCCTTCTTCTCATCCTTCTCCTTCTCCTTCTTCTCATCCTTCTCCTTCTCCTTCTTCCTCATCCTTCAGGGAGAAAGGCTTCTCATCCTTCTCCTTCTCCTTCTTCTCATCCTTCTCCTTCTTCTCATCCTTCTCCTCATCCTTCTTCTCTTCTTCTCATCCTTCTTCTCATCCTTCTCTTCTCATCCTTCTCCTTCTTCTCATCCTTCTCCATCCTTCTCATCTCATCCTTCTCCTTCTTCTCATCCTTCTCCTTCTTCTCATCCTTCTCCTTCTCCTTCTTCTCATCCTTCTCCTTCTTCTCATCCTTCTCCTTCTCCTTCTTCTCATCCTTCTCCTTCTCATCCTTCTCTCATCCTTCTCCTTCTTTCTCCTTCTTCTCATCCTTCTCCATCTTCTCATCCTTTCCTTCTCATCCTTCTCCTTTCTTCTCATCCTTCTCCTTCTCCTTCTTCTCTTCTCCTTCTCCTTCTTCTCATCATCCTTCTCCTTCTTCTCATCCTTCTCCTTCTCTTCTTCTCATCCTTCTCCTTCTCCTTCTTCTCATCCTTCTCCTTCTTCTCATCCTTCTTCTCATCCTTCCTTCTTCTCATCCTTCTTCTTCTTCTCCTTCTTCTCATCCTTCTCCTCTTCTTCTCATCCTTCTTCTCATCCTTCATCCTTCTCCTCCTTCTTCATCCTTCTCCTTCTTCTCTTCTTCTCCTCCATCCTTCTCATCCTTCTCCTTCTTCTCATCCTTCTCCTCTCTTCTCATCCTTCTCCTTCTCCTTCTTCTCATCCTTCTCCTTCTCCTTCTTCTCATCCTTCTTCTCATCTTCTCCTTCTTTCATCCTCTCATCCTTCTCCTTCTTCTCATCCTTCTCCTTCTTCTCATCCTTTCTTCTCCTTCTCCTTCTTTTCTCCTTCTCCTTCTCCTTCTCTTCTTCTCTCATCCTTCTTCTTCATCCTTCTTCTCATCCTTCTCCTTCTCCTTCTTCTCATCCTTCTCCTTCTTCTCATCCTTCTCCTTCTCCTTCTTCTTCATCCTTCTCCTTCTTCTCATCCTTTCCTTCTCCTTCTTCTCCTTCTCTCATCCTTCTTCTTCATCCTTCTTCTCTTCTCATCCTTCTCCTTCTTCTCATCCTTCTCCTTTCTTCTCATCCTTCTCCTTCTCCTTCTTCTCATCCTTCTCCTTCTTCTCATCCTTCTCTTCTCCTTCTTCTCATCCTTCTCCTTCTTTCATCCTTCTTCTCATCCTTCTCCTTCTTCTCATCTTCTTCTCATCCTTCTCCTTCTTCTCATCCTTCTCCTTCTTCTCATCCTTCTCCTTCTTCTCATCCTTCTCCTTCTCCTTCTTCTCTCCTTCTCATCTTCTCATCCTTCTCTCCTTCTCATCATCCTTCTCCTTCTTCTCATCCTTCTCCTCTCCTTCTTCTCATCCTTCTCCTTCTCCTTCTTCTCATCCTTCTCCACCCTTCTCCTTCTTCTCGCTCATCTCTAATTATCACTCAATTCTGCAAGTGGTTCTGATTTACTATCGCTGTTCTCTAGCCGGTCTAAAACCGCTTTTGACGTAAAGGGACGCTTTTTGGACGTCATGGACTTTTCTAAGTTTCCAGGCAGAAAGAACAGTCAAAATGCAGGCAGGGCGCCGGACAAAGCAGTAGGGACAAAATGTATGTGAAATGCATTGAAACAGCAATGACAGCAAAAATGAAATTTTTTAAAAAATTTAAAATTTCCCACCGGTTCCGGTGCCCGTAGGTCCCGACGTCACCGGGACCGGAACACGGAAGCCGGAGGAGATGGCCGGGGACGCTGCAGGGGACGCATCGTCGGAGCGAAGGACAAGGTAAGTGCTGCAGGACCCCCTGAGCAACGCCGCATGGTAAGCCCGAGTGTAGCTCGGGGTTACCGCTCTTGGTACTCAAATTTTATCCCGAGCTACACTCAGGAAAACCGTTAAATGGGTGGTCTGGGAAGGATGGTTAAATGGGGGTCAGTGGGAAGAATGACCCTTACATTGGGGGTCAGTGGGAAGAATGTCCCTTACATTGGGGGTCAGTGGGAAGAATGTCCCTTACATTGGGGTCAGTGGGAAGAATGTCCCTTACATTGGGGATCAGTGGGAAGAATGTCCCTTACATTGGGGGTCAGTGGGAAGAATGTCCCTTACATTGGGGTCAGTGGGAAGAATGTCCCTTACATTGGGGGTCAGTGGGAAGAATGTCCCCATTGGGGGTCAGTGGGAAGAATGTCCCTTACATTGGGTGAGTGGGAAGAATGTCCCCTTACATTGGGGGTCAGTGGGAAGAATGTCCCTTACAATGAATGTCCCTTACATCAGTGGGAAGAATGTCCCTTACATTGGGGGTCAGTGGGAAGAATGTCCCTTACATTGGTGGTCAGTGAGAAGAATGTCCCCTTACATTGGAGGTCAGTGGGAAGAATGTCCCTTACATTGGGGGTCAGTGGGAAGAATGTCCCTTACATTGGTGGTCAGTGAGAAGAATGTCCCTTACATTGGAGGTCAGTGGGAAGAATGTCCCTTACATTGGGGGTCAGTGGGAAGAATGTCCCTTACATTGGGGGTCAGTGGGAAGAATGTCCTTACATTGGGGGTCAGTGGGAAGAATGTCCCTTACATTGGGGGTCAGTGGGAAGAATGTCCCTTACATTGGGGGTCAGTGGGAAGAATGTCCCTTACATTGGGGGTCAGTGGGAAGAATGTCCCTTACATTGGGGTCAGTGGGAAGAATGTCCCTTACATTGGGGGTCAGTGGGAAGAGAATGTGGTCAGTGGGAAGAATGTCCCTTACATTGGGGGTCAGTGGGAAGAATGTGGTGTGTGGTGGTCAGTGGACAGAAAATACTCATTACTCAAGGAACCCCTAGCAACCTCTGGAGGAACCCTAGAGTTCCATGGAACCCTAGTTAAGAAACCCTGCAGTGTACGGTATACCACAGACCAATACCTACAGATTTGTAGATATTTACAATGATAAATGTGTACAGCAAGGATAACTTTTAATATTTTGGAACTTTTCAAATCCATCAGAGCTACAATATGGCCAGGACTGGGACGAGGGGTGGGCAGAAAGTCCGGATGCCTGGGCATGGAGGGGATTTGGGGGAGTTGAGGATGAGAGCTACATTCACATCAGAGTCTTCCCTTACATCAAAGTCAATAGGATCCCGCAGGATGAAGAGTGGGGGAAGGGTCTAGTAAATATGTCACATTTGCCAGTCCTTTCCTTTCTTGAATACACACAACGAGTGATCAGTACCGCTCACTCACTGTGTTCTTTCATAACTGTGTTTTTAATTGGGGGGGAGGCTTTCAGGTTGGCTGTATGGGGCCCAGTGGTTTCTAACAGCAGCCCTGCAGCATGTACAGGAGTGGGGGTGGGGCAGACAAGAGGACAGAGGCAGGAGCAGAGTCTATGTAGAGGGGGAAGGGAGAGCTTGCTGCCTGGAATCTGTGAGAAACTGACAATTAACAGATGCAGCCACCCGCTCCTACAGACTGCTTCCCCTGATAAACTGTTTGCCAACCCTGAGTGGGCACAACATCCATGGGGGGTTGCCTGGGAAGGGGGGGCAGTTGAAATCAGGGGAGGGCGAATCCAAACCAGCACCCCCCTAGATCTCTAATTGGCCTTTCCAGCAAGGAACCCATGGAAGGGTAACGCATGTCAAAAAACAACAAACAAAAATTCCCGGCTCAACTTACCAGTCAATCGGCATCAAAACTGAATTTCCTTGTCCAACAGCCTACTGCACATGTGCCTTTATCAGGACATTGGGCTGCCTATCAGATCTGAGAATGGCCCCTTTGTATACATTTGAAGACCATTACTGGTTATGCCAGGGGTCTCCAAACTTTTCAAACAATTGGCCAGTTTATTGGCCTTCAGACTTTCGGGGGGCCGGATTGTGGCTAGATGGGATAGAAAATGTCCCGACCCCAGCATCAGTGAGAATACAAATGGCCTCAATGTTGGTGGTCAGTAGGAGAAAGAGTAATGTCCCATCATTGGTGTCAGTGGGAGGAATAGTGTCCTATCATTGGTATCAGTGGGAGAAATCGTGTCCCATCATTGGTGTCAGCGGGAGGGATAGTGCCCCATCATTGGTGTCAGTGGGAGGAATAGTGTCCCATCATTGGTGTCAGTGGGAGGAATAGTGCCCCATCATTGGTGTCAGTGGGAGGAATAGTGTCCCATCATTGGTATCAGTGGGAGAGAAATAGTGTCCCATCATTGGTATCAGTGGGAGGAATAGTGTCCCATCATTGGTGTCAGTGGGAGGAATAGCACCCCATCATTGGTATCAGTGGGAGGAATAGTGCCCCATCATTGGTGTTAGTGGAAGGAATAGTGTCCCATCATTGGTGTCAGTGGGAGGAATAGTGCCCCATCATTGGTATCAGTGGGAGGAATAGTGCCCCATCATTGGTGTTAGTGGAAGGAATAGTGTCCCATCATTGGTGTCAGTGGGAGGAATAGTGCCCCATCATTGGTATCAGTGGGAGGTATAGTGTCCCATCATTGGTGTCAGTGGGAGGAATAGTGCCCCATCATTGGTATCAGTGGGAGGAATAGTGCCCCATCATTGGTGTTAGTGGAAGGAATAGTGCCCCGTCATTGGTATCAGTGGGAGGAATAGTGTCCCATCATTGGTATCAGTGGGAGGAATAGAGAGTCTCATCATTGGTATCAGTGGGAGGAATAGTGCCCCATCATTGGTGGTCAGTGGGAGGAATAGTGTCCCATCATTGGTGTCAGTGGGAGGAATAGTGCCCCATCATTGGTGTCAGTGGGAGGAATAGTGCCCCATCATTGGTATCAGTGGGAGGAATAGTGTCCCATCATTGGTATCAGTGGGAGGAATAGAGTCTCATCATTGGTATCAGTGGGAGGAATAGTGCCCCATCATTGGTATCAGTGGGGGGAATAGTGCCCCATCATTGGTGTCAGTGGGAGGTATAGTGCTCCATCATTGGTATCAGTGGGAGGAATAGTGTCCCATCATTGGTATCAGTGGGAGAAATAGTGTCCCATCATTGGTATCAGTGGGAGAAATAGTGCCCCATCATTGGTGTCAGTGGGAGGAATAGTTCCCCATCATTGGTATCAGTGGGAGGAATAGTGCCCCTTCATTGGTATTAGTGGGAGGAATAGTGCCCCATCATTGGTGTCAGTGAGAGGAATAGTGCCCCATCATTGGTGTCAGTGGGAGGAATAGTGCCCCATCATTGGTGTCAGTGGGAGGAATAGTGTCCCATCATTGGTATCAGTGGGAGGAATAGTGCCCCATCATTGGTGTCAGTGGGAGGAGTAGTGTCCCATCATTGGTGTCAGTGGGAGGAATAGTGTCCCATCATTGGTGTCAGTGGGAGGAATAGTGTCCCATCATTGGTGTCAGTGGAAGGAATAGTGCCCCATCATTGGTGTCAGTGGGAGGAATAGAGTCTCATCATTGGTATCAGTGGGAGGTATAGTACAACATCATTGGTCTCAGGGGAAGGAATAGTGTCCCATCATTGGTGTCAGTGGGAGGATTAGTGCCCCATCATTGGTGTTAGTGGAAGGAATAGTGTCCCATCGTTGGTGTCAGTGGGAGGGGTAGTGCCCCATCATTGGTATCAGTGGGAGGAATAGTGCCCCATCATTGGTGTCAGTGGGAGGAATAGAGTCTCATCATTGGTATCAGTGGGAGGAATAGAGTCTCATCATTGGTCTCAGGGGAAGGAATAGTGTCCCATCATTGGTCTCAGGGGAAGGAATAGTTTCCCATCATTGGTCTCAGGGGAAGGAATAGTTTCCCATCATTGGTCTCAGGGGAAGGAATAGTGCCCCATCATTGGAAGAAATAGTGCTCCAAGTGCCAGATAAAGGCTAGCAAGGGGTCACATCCAGCCCTTGGACTGCAGTTTGAAGACCCCTGGGTTATGCCTATTGTCAACACAACAACAGGTTGGGCTCTGCCTGGTCTGCAACTGTTTTAAAAGTACAAGATTCCCTGCATGTCCCCTAAAAAAAGTACCTCTTCAGCAACCAGTCTTCAGTGCTTCACTACATGGGAAGCAGGACCCCTGGTGAAGAAAGTTTCCAATGTATCGTGAGTAGGGATGAGGCTTGGGTTCAACTTGCCTGTCATCCCTTGGGTACAAGAACCCCCCTCGGAATACCTGCCAAGTGTACAGCCACAATGATGGGAATTTATCAAAACTGGAGCAGACAGTATCAGGAGCAGTTGTGCATGACAACCAATCAGGTTCTTTAAAGCTTAAGTGAATAAACTATACACAGAAGCTGATTGGTTGTCATGCACAGCTGCTCGCTGATCCAGTTTTGATGAGTTCCTGACCAATGAACATTGCCACCATTGCTGTGGCAGCTACCAACAGCAATGTAAATCTGCCATGCATCCACAACTCAAGACACAGAAAACTAGGAAGCACATTTTCCCATGATGCCATGACAGGAAAATCATCCCCATTGGCTAGAACCAAAAATGCCCAATGTATGAAAACGTATGTAAAATGCACAAAAAGCAAACAATAAAAAAAAAAAAAAAGGAAAATGCATTCCAGCAGAAATGGAGGGATCTGAATAGGGCATCAGAGATACGTGGGCTGCCACTGATATAAAAATACGAGGGCTGTACTGAAAGGTATGCAAAAGTGGGCAGAACTTTTTATTAACTTACACAGGTTGTTCAAATTTCACATGTTGGTGGAGCAACTCTTCCTCTATACAAAGGTACAACATAATCTCCATCACAAGCAACCCAACTCTCGAATCCTCTAAAAAAAAATCAGGTGTGCACTGTTGTACCCTCTTCTTCTCAACTATGTCGTCTATGCCATCAAATCATTGTCCTCAAAGACTGTCCTTCATTGGACCTAACACATGGATGTATCTGGGCTGTGCAGTGGATGGGGGACCACTGACCAGCCAAATTTGCTGATCTCCTGATTTGATACCAAATGTGTGTTATTGTGTATTGTCATGGTGAATGTGGATTGTTTTCACATTCTTGTTTGGGTTGTTTTTCCTCGTGGTTTCTATAAGCATCGTAAACATGGACGCGGCATGGCCACATTCCAAAATATCAAGGAGAATGATGTCCTTTTCATCCCTAAAAACAGTCACCATGACTCTCAGGGATGATACTGGCTCTTAAACTTCATAGGCCTTGGGAAAGAGATGTAACACCATTCCATGGACTGATTCTTCATTTCCAGGACATAAAGATATGCCCACTTTAAATCCACTGTCACCAGATCGGCAAAAGACATGTCTTCATTGGCTTCAAACGCTTCCAACAGATCAGAGCAGACTTGCACCTTTCTCTCCGTCAAATTTGGCGTCAACTGTCGAGGTCCCCATTTTGCACACAATTTCCAATACCCTAAGTCTTCCACCATCTTCTGTATGGCTATTGTGACCACAGTCCAGGTGTGTTGCAAGCTCATGGATTGTGACTCCTCTGTTCGCATGAAATAATTCATACACTTGCTGAGGATTTGTGTTAGTGGTTGGAACTAATGGCCTCCCGCTGTGTGGTTTGTCTTCAATGTTGGTTTCCCCTTCTTTAAGCTTCTTCATCCATCTGTGTACATTGCTCTTCAACGGTGTCATCTCCATAATGAATATGTAGCCTTATGTGGGTATCGGACAGCTGGCATCCCTCCTTCATCAAGAACTCAATGACAGCACATTGCTACTGAATGTTTACGGAGATGACCCCATTGACAAAAGTAATGTCTTCTCATTGG